TGTATGTGGCCAGCTCACGCGTCGGAAAACCTTCCGAATTATTCGTGTACGCACCAGACGAAAAAACAAAAAATATCGTGTATCCACGAGCACTCCAATAAATAAATAGAATTGAAACGACACTTTGAAATGTTTTCCCGATGAAAACGAATAATAATAATATATTTCAATAAAAATGATAAAATGAAAATTTAATTTTATTATAACGAGTTTGCTTGAATTTCATCTCTTCTGAGATCGCAGCAATGCGCGACGGGTAAGCTAGTTTAATTATAATTATTAATTTACTTAAGAGATGGCGCCTAACATCTACCTCTAACGTCAAATTACTTTATACCAATCATGTAATTAGCCATATTATAGCCCAATATTTAGGCGAACGTTTGGTGATTTATTGTATACTACTTGGGCTTTGCGATGTTATTATATGATTGTATAAAAAATTTCATTTTTTATTTTTAGATTTTTGTCATATTTTTAAATTAATAGGTTAAATTCTCATAATATTTTAAAGTACAGTGGGTGATCGGTTAACGAACATAATCCGTTCCAAGACTTTGTTTGTTATCCGAATTGTTCGTTAACCGATTATCAATTTACCATAGGTTTCTATGGGAATTTGATTAATTCGTTCTGGAGACCTCCAAAAAATAAAAAATATAGACTATACTTTCTTATTACGTATATTTATATGTAATAATAAAAATACATATATACACGGTCTTGCATTTTTATTAGTCATGTTTTTTCCGTTTGTGGGGGTTAATTAATTAATTAAAGAATCTGTCCAATGTCGATTGCTTTTCTGTCTTCTTTATGATTTTTCAGAAGTAATTAATAGCATTGTAATTGTAGAGAACCCTAGGCCTATTAACCTCAACCTGGTTTGGATGCCATTTTAAGACCGTTGTTCTGTCAGAACAACGTCCTCCCACTTCTTTAAAAGATCTTTAATAGCAGATATCGGCATAAATCCACATTTTCATAAGAAAATGTAAAAGAATTGTTTCTGTCAGAAATATAAAAAGCTGGAATTACAAGGGAGAGTTTCAAAGTTCGGGAGAATACTATCCTATCAGTATATACTGGGTAGAACGTCGATGTTGACGTCTCCCGCGCTCCAAAAAGTTTTGAATTGTTGCCTGAAGACAAAGGAAGACCAATCGATATTCGTTATTTTACGTCTCTTCTTTTTGTGTTTGTTCAGTCAAGTGTTCGTTATCCGAACATGTGTTCGCTGTCCGATCATAAACATCTTTCACAAAAGTGTTCGTTATCCAATTTGTTCGTTAACCGATCACCCACTGTATACATTAAAGTGTTTTAAATCAATAGTACATCCAATTAAAATTCTATTAAGTTAAATAACTTTAAATGAATAAACAATTATACAATATAATTTGTGATTTTCATTAAAAACAAAAGTAATAAAAAAAGACTCCTACTAATGAGTTTGCAGACTCGATTATTAGGAGAAACAATGTCTTTTATTTGACCACGTAACATGTCCTCTTGCATCTTGTTCAATTCACCAATTTTATGTTTCTCCAAACATCCTTTTGTTTCTTGAATCACTTGTTCAACCACATTCTCCAATTTATTTTGAACTTCCTCCTCACTATAATAATCCATAATTAGAAAGAAAATTTTAATAAAATTTAAATAAGTATTTAAAGTGCAATGAATTTGCTGACTAAAAAATATTATTATAATATGTAGAGAAAAGAGTGAAACAATTAAAAACAATGATGATTATAATGATTAGCATTGGCAACTGTTTAGAATTATCAGAAATATACAAAATTTCAGTTAGTTTTTAAAAATTGTTTGAAAATGTTCTGAAAAATGAAGCTGTATGTTTATTTTTATCTTGTTTCTAAGATGTCGTCCCTAATAGTAATCCAAATAATTTTCAATATTATTATTTTCTAATGCTTTTTTGTGTTCTAATGTTTTCATGGTTTCTCCACCCTGTGGGTACTAACAGTATATGTCTTAAACATACCCTGATTCAGCCAGGCCCACAGAGGGAATGGAATGGTGGTGAGAGACTGGGCCCAACATATCCAGAACAAACTGTACATGAAAAATTTCTTGGGGTTCCATGCTGAGAGTCGATTCAGAATCCCCAGAGAGATAAGATAGGCTGATGCCTTAACTGTCTCAGCCAACCAGTTGTCTCATCTTCATCATGTCATCCAAGAAAAAAAAAAAATGTTTCCAAGTTTGTTTATAGGTTTTCTTTTGCTCATCAGTTTTTTAAGTTGGCATTTATTTACACTTTGTTTGAAATTTGTAACTCTGAGAGTTGGAAACCCTAATGATGATATATATTACTGTATTTTGAATTATTCAGTCATAATAATAACAAATCTCCCATGGTCACCACCTGCTCATGGTGAAAGAACCCTGTAATTTTACTGATCCATAGGGCATTGCAAGCTGGAGCACAAGCTCATGGTAGGGACACCCATGCCAGAAAGGTCTATGGGGAGAAATGAAGCTAAGAATGACCACACCCACATTCTGTGGAGATAATAATTATCACAGTAGTAACCAGATCAAAGTGTGATACCGACTCAGACGTCGCCCGGGTTAACAAGGTCCGTGTTCGTGGGTTAGGCAGAGGCTCACATTCAAAAAATAGGCTGCAGTCTCCCTTGGTTACCGGTGGCGAAAGCAGCACTGGCCCAAGCATGGCTACTGCAATGCCCTCAACAGATGTGGGGAACCAACCTAGCCTTGGTGTTTCTTTGGCAATGCATCCACAGACCACAAAGGCTGGAAAACCATGCCAATGGATGAAATGGACATCAGAAATGAACAAGTTTATCATCTGTGCTTACTACACCATCACAAGACTCGAAACAAACATGACAGCATACAGATAACAACTACACCATAGATTCACACAACAATATCCTCACCTCATTGTCACCAAACAAAGGGTTGTCGATCAAAAAAGAACAATTATACACAACAACCTTATCCCACAACCAACACTTGAACTTATCAAACAAAAGGTTGCTGATCAAATACATCAACAGACAGAAACATTTAACATTAATGAAGATCACGTAACCTGTCAGGATAATCCAGCAACAAATATTGATAATAGCACACATACAACAACTACCACTAATGATACTACAGGCACTTCCTCATCCATCACTGATAACATAGACATAGATTTAGTTAATATGCTCTCACTTTTATTTCAGGAAACACTCACCAAATATACAGATACAGATTCCACACAATAACCATGAATACCAAAAATCAATATATCTAAGACAGTAGGAAAAACACTAAATTATGTTAACATTCTCTTACTTCCACACTGCATTCATTTAATTTCTACACTCTCAGACATTCATACATTAGTTTATGCTGGGGCAGTCACAGTAGTGACACACCATGGACTGAAAATACAATCGCAGACAGATACACACAAAACACAATTCTATCACAAGCCTGCCTGGCAGAGAAGAATAGAAACACAAATAAATGACATTAGACAGCAATTAGGCAGGCTAGCACAATACACTAAAAACAACACAACACCCAAATTAATGAAACAACTCAAAAACATTTTCAAGAAAATCAAAACACACACAAAACACGAACATCACAACACACACATTACAGAATACGTCGATACACTAAAACAAAAACTCGCAGCCAAAGCACGCAGACTCAAACGATACAAAACATGTACACTACGAAAACAACAAAATAAATTATTCACAAACAACGAAAAACTTTTCTACAGACAAATCAGTACCAAAACAAATACTGAAACGCAGCACAGTGGCACACCAACAGAAGAAGAACTCACAACTTATTGGTCTTCTCTTTGATCCAATGCTGTTACACACAATGCTGAAGCAGGCTGGATCGAGGAAAAGAACAGAAACTTGCATAACATACCAACTATGTCCTGTGCTGAAATAAACATACATGACATTTGCTATGCTGTTAACAGAACACACAACTGGAAGACACCTGATGTAGACAACATTCACAATTTCTGGTACAAAAAGTTTACATCACTGCACCAGAAACTAGACAAACATCTAACACACATCATCATCAATCCACAAAACATGCCAAAATTTTTTATTTAGAGCATCACCTACATGAAACCTAAAAACAACAAAACCACAGACACCACACAATACAGACCAATTACATGTCTTCCAACACTCTACAAATTATTGACATCCTGTATCACAAACAAAATATACAAACATGTTGAAGAACATGACATTCTTACAGAACAACAAAAAGGTTGCTGTAGAAATCAAGGGGATGCAAAGAACAGTTACTCATAGATTCAATCATTCTACGACAAGCACACAAACAACACAGAAACATACACATGGCATATACAGACTACAGAAAAGCATTCGACAGTGTTCCACACAGTTGGCTGCTACATTTTCTACACATGTACAAAATACATCCATCACTCATTGCATTCTTCCAAAACACTATGCAGCACTGGAGAACAACACTACATCTCAGGATTAGTAACACTTCCATACAAACAAATGAGATATTCATTAGGTGAGAAATTTTTCAAGGAGATTCCTTGAGTCCTCTCTGGTTCTGCCTAGCCCTGAATCCATTATCCAACATGTTAAACAACATGCATTATGGTTACAACATCAGACATGAAAAAACAACACAGTTTACACTGTCACATCTCATGTGCATGGATGACATAAAACTTTATGCATCCAAACAGAAACAACTTCATCAACTCCTACAAATCACACATTCATATACCAAGGACATACAAATGGAGTTTGGCTTAGACAAATGCAAAACACTTCACATTGAAAAAGAAGTCCTGAAGAAAGATTTTGCACTTGGAAATGGGGACGTTATTGAATCTATGGAAAAGGGTGAATTCTACAAGTATTTAGGAATCCAACAGGCCAAACTAACAGAACATACACAAATAAAGCAAAGATTTATTAAAGAATACCAAAGTAGGTTAAATGCTATCCTCAGAACACAGTCAAATGCAAAACACACAGTTAAAGCAATAAACACATATGTCATCCCAGTACTCACATAATCTTTTGGAGTTANTATTAAATATTAGACTATTAGGTATTTCTGAAAAATACATAACTACATTTATAAATTTTTAAATAAGGATTTTTTTGATTTTAAAGTTGTTTTGAACTTTTCAAATACCACTATAATATTCAAGGAATATAAATTATAAAATATCTTATCAATCTTAGTGCATTAGACATTCAGTAGCAACAAAATGTCTTATACTTCCAAAAATATTAGCAAAATTGATGAAGAAGAAGAGAATGATTGACTAATAAGAAAAAATACTTGTTCTATAAAAAAAGCAAAAATAAATACTTTTAATTTTACTGATGTTTTATAGCATTGGTACATTATTAACAGACATAGTTATTAGTCTGCAAGATAAATGATCCACAAGTTCTTGACAATTTTTTGTTAGTTTTATGAAATTAATCAAATAATACATAATTAAATCAACACATAAATGATTTAAATGCAGGTTCATAAACCATGAGGTTTATGCAAAGGGCATAATTCTATTGACATTGCATAATAATTGGAAATTGTTTGCATTTATTTGGAATAAATTTGCACGGCTTCTTAGTTCTGCATAAAGAAATTTATTTCCATGTATTTGTATATTCATATATTTGACTATTCTTCTTCTTCTTCTTCTTCTTAGCATTGTCCCACAGATGTAGGGTTCGCTATTCGGATCTTTGAATGCCACTTTGTTCGATTGAGTGCATCGTCTGGGTTCAGGTGCAGAACCCTTAAGTCTGCATTGATAGTATCTTGTGGGTTCCCAGACGAGGTTCGAACTCGAGTAAACCGTGAAATTCTTGCGCGACACGAGATGTAAACAACGAGACTCGGAACGGTTCGAGTATGTGTCAACTATCTGTTAATGTCTTAGCGGAAGACAAACTCTAACACGAGCGCTCATAAACAGGTAGATCTTTGACTCGCGTGTCTATAAAATGTTGGCCGAAATAAACCTTTTCGAACAAAAAAATAGAGGAATTTTTGATAGGTGAAAGGTGAAAATGATCGTTAAATTCTTAGACGTCAAAAATGGTAAATAACGGCCTGAGTTATGAGTGCAGGTGTTATTATTTTATAAACAGTCATCGAGCAGAGTCGACAAAGAGGTATCAGATGGACACCTCGAATCGGACCTTTCCCGCGACCCGAAAAAGTTTTATCTTGCACCTGGAGACAAAGGAGAAACCAATCGGGAAGCAAGGAATGGGACGAGGGACCAATCCGAAAGGCGAACAGTGGGGGAAAAACTATAAAAATCGGAACTTCAAGGTCGAAGNCGCTCTGTATATTCTTTGTGATAGTGTGTATGATGAGAATGACTATCTGAAGTACTAATTTGTTTGTTTGAAAATGCTAGCTTAAAAATACATAAAATGTTCAGTGAAATACAATGACTTAAAACAAAGGTTTAAGGACAAATCATTGTACCTTTATTTTTTCTTTTTACCAACAGCATCAACTTTTAGTAAACAGATGTTGGTAAATAGATGAAAATTTTATAAGTATTGTAAGCAGAGTTTA